AAAAAAAAAAAAAAAAAAAAAAAACACCCAATAACTACAATTAACCCGAAAAGTTTACCATTCCATCGAAGGATTCAATGGCCTTGTTGACCTCGGCTGACGAACTATATGTCACGAAACCGAAACCCCGAGACCTCCCACTCTCTCTGTCGTAAACTACACTTGCCTCCTTCACATTCCCTTGCTCGCTAAACAATGTTTCGAGAGCAAGATTATCGACCCCCCACGAAAGGTTACCCACATAAACCCTGTTGCTGCTGTCAATGGACCCTGACCCATAACCACTTTGGGCCCCCCGGAATGAAGAGCTTTCACTCTTGGAAGGTGGGGGCCCAGAATTCACCCTCAGACTCCGGCCGTGAAGTTCCTGCAGATAAAAAAAATCATAAATTTAGCGCTTACTTGAATACCTGAAATTTGAGCTGCGTTGAAATTCGAGTTATACTATATACTCAATTGGGTTGATTACTTGTTTAGTTGTTTGTTCTCAAAACTAGAAACATTGCAAAGATATACATACATATTATCACAAATTTGTAGAATACAATAAACATTAGTATAATTAGTAAGTTTATGGTTCACATTTCACAATGCCCTATTGCTCTTGGAGTTCTCATATCTACACACAGAAACATATACATACAAATTAAAGAGATAAACAGGCTTACATAGCCATGGAATTGTTGTACAGCAGTTTCTACTTCCTCGACGGTAGACATAGTCACGAAACCAAAACCTCTACTTTTTCCAGTAGCCTTGTCGTATATAACCTGCAAATATTTCAATACGCTTTTAATTCGACAAATTTACAGTGTTTTCTACCAGAAGTTCTACTTTCGACATCCCTCTGTACACAATATCTTGAAAATTACAACAGCCAAAGCTAAAGTAACAAGAGGGACTCTAATGGACTAAAACAAACTGCAATTATCATTCAGATAACCGACACAATCTCCACAATTTCGTAATTGAACAAATGAACATCCAACAGAGAGACATTGAGGCAATTTACGCAAATATCGAGTAAGCTCACCATCCCTTTTAGGGTTAAAAATTCAATCTTTTTTTCCAGTCTTCACAATATCACCTCATATAAAGCAAGCACAAAGTACCCAACTCGAATCAAACCCAAACAAAAACAGGAAATTTCAAAAGAGTTAAACCCACCTCGACCATCTCGACGTTCCCAGCCTGCTCAAACAACCCAGCCAGCTCAGAGCTGTCGACATTGAACGGCAAATTCCCGACAAAAAGCTTCAAGTCGGGCGAGAATCTCGGCTGCTCGCCGGCGGAGAAATCGAGCCCTTCGTCCTCGGACAAATCCGCATCCAGCTCGGACGAAACGGCGACGTTCCTCAAGAACCCAGAAGCTGGATTCGCGCGAATGCCGGCGGAGGAAAGCGGGAGGACGAGCTTGGGAAAAGGTTTTACAGAAGGGGCGAAGAGAGCGGAGACGACGCTGCGGCCGACGCCGGCGGCGGCGGCGGTCGTTGAGGAAGGGTGGTGGGCAGATAAGGTTTGTGGGGCGAGGGCGAGGAAGGTAAGTGAAGCGGCCATGGCTACTGGGAAAGTGTGTGGAGAAGATAAGGTTTTTGAGGTTTATATGTCTTTGAGATTTGAGATGAGATTTTAGGGAAGGGTTTTAAACTTTTAATAGAGGAGCTGTGAAGAGAAGATATTTGTGGAGATAATGAAAATATCTTATGTAGATAAGATAACTAAGGGCGTGTTTGGTTTCTCAGCTATAAAAATAATTTAATTATTATTTTTTTTTTTTTTTGGAAGAAAAATATTATCTCGTTCAAAAAAGTGAGATATAAATGTTAACATAGTTATATGTTTTTACTTATACTAGTGAAGTTAAAGAAAAATGTGAGATGAAATAAATAGCATTTCTTATTAATAGATTTTGTTTTGTTTTTTCGAAACGATAGATTAGATTAATAAAAACAAATAATTATAAACATAGATACAACCAAGAATAGTCAAACAGCCATCCAGCTGAATCTAATGGAGACATACACAAATGGTAGCCTAGAGATCTACACTAACGCATCCACAAACAGACAAACTAAAATAAAAGAATTTTGAATTATATTATTCGTGATATAGGTAAAACTTACATAGTGATGTTTCACATAAAACTAGTCCCTTCGGGGACATCATCCGATAAAACTAGAATGATACAGAGAAGATTAGCATAGTCCTTGTGCAAGGATGACACAAATCGAGGAATGTTTACATAAAACTAGAATTTGATGTTTTCATTCTCTGTTTTTTTTGTTTTAGCCTCTTGCAAGTTCATAAATTCTCTTACCTATGCATAATTTCAAAATCAATTTTCTTCACAAAAATCGTGTGCCATAAAATCGCTTTTCTTTAGTAAACGATTATTTTTCATGTCTAGCGAGTTTTATCGAACTGAGCTGACAAGTCGATCGATTCGTTTACCAACTGTAATCACAAACATGTTTGTATGGATAAATAGTATTCAAGAGTACTTAGTGGGCATACAATGAAACTCAACACAACTTTCTTGATGAATAATGTTGTACACTATAGAAAATTTTCCAGGTAACATAACATTTGATTTCACCATATATATATATATCACCAAGAACTACAAAAACCCCTTTATATGAAAATGAAGACAGATATATGTATATTTCTGTTGATACTAACAAAAGAGATACATAATAAAATATATATTCAAAAAAAGAATAATAAAAATATAGGTACTAATATCAAATGGCTTTCCATCTAATATCCAAGTGTATAATCCCATTTCTTGAATTGATAAGATGATACTTCTCATTGATGTGCCCGTTGTAGACGACGTCGGCCAGGTTAATATCTATGAACCCCAACGACTCCTTTTTGTCCAACAAATTTCGAAAAAATAACAATTAAGAAAAAAAAATATATAATGTCGAAATATAACTCGAGTTTTCTTGTAGTTAGGCTTTAACATAATAGGAAGCATTAGAGTTTTTTAGTACCTTAAACATGAAACCCATCCGTCTTCTGCAGCTCGTGACCTCAACGTGAATTATGTCCTTCACAGGAGCCTCGTCGAGCACAAACTGGAATTCCTCATTCCAATGGGGTTGTCGAGTTTTCTTGATAATCTACAAGCAGTCGAATTTGAAATTAACGCTATGTTTGGTAAACCTAGCTGATAAGGTAGTTTATAGCTTTTAATTGAATTTCGAGTTTATAGCTGATAGCTTATGACTTATGGTTGAAAAAATTAGCTTATATGATAAAAGTGTTAGCTAAAATTAGCTGAAACAAAAATTTCAGTAGTCATATTTGAAAAGCTACCCAAAGAAACTTATGAGATAAACTTGAACGTTTTAAAAGAAGCTCATCCTACCAAACCAAACTTATTTGAGCACAAAAGCTTATAACCTAATAAAATAAGCTATAAGCTAACTTATATGCTTACCAAACACGACCTAAATTCATATAGATAAAAAGTTTCTCGAGTGCTTAAATTAAAATTCGCGTGACGAAAGAGTCGACTATTTTAAAGTGTAAAACATTAAAAATATTCACCTTAGTTTTTCTCTTGTCCCCTCTAAAGATAACGGTAGCATAAGGGTTGTTATGGCTTTTCCCCTCGACGTCCCTTGCCTTCAACACAGTGAGGAGGAGCAAACCCGACCCACTCAAAGACCCGTTTTGGAGGCTATTTTGGGAATTTCCATCCTCTGCATTATTAGTGCCATTATTATTCTTATTATCATCGAACGAGCCGCTAAACTTTTTGTTGTCTTCTTGAAAAGGGACAAAGGTTGTTTGTATTGTGATTTGTCCCCTCGGCTTGAAGTTTCGACGATCGTTAGGATCCGTGCTGTTTTTCAGATCGAGCGTGAACTCTTTCTTCTCGTATGGTCTTAGTACATTAAGTGGAACAATTTGCATGCCTAAATAATCATGAGCCCCAACCTGTTAATTCACAAAAGGGGCAAATGACCTATCTTTGCATAATAAACGAATATTATAGTAAAATTTGATCGAGTATAAATTAAAGAACCAAACCTTTTCCCAATCGTATAGTTGAAGCTGCAGAAATTGAGTCTCGGGCTCCTTCACGATCAGCTTGAAATCCTCGTTCCACTCGGGATTCAAATTATTCATCTTGACCGTTGTTTTTTTCGACGGTAATCTTTCACCGGTTAAACTGAGCTTAACGTACGGATCGGATGTCGTCAAAAAATCCATGTTTAAAAGCTTTTTTGCTCTCACAACCTTCACATGAAGTATACCCACAGGCTTCTTTGTAGCTCCTCTGTTTAAGAACAGAACAAAAACTTTATTGTAAGAGAAAAAAGTGAAGTGTGGAAAAATAAATCGAGCTTCTCAAAACTTGGATTTTTTATTTTTTTTTGAACTCACGTA